TTAGTAAACTCATATGGAATTAATTCCTATGATTCGTGTTGAGTATATTGAATTGTTTGTGACTAGATTTGAAGCTTTCGGACATGAATTCACGAGGCAAATATTTATTGGAATCTTGAAATTGGTTGCGAAGCGAGGTAAGTGTCGTGGTTAACCTTGACTTGATGGAATAGAACCCTTGAATTATTTGTTATGTGAAATTCATGTGAACGACGTATAGGCGAGGTGACGAGTGTCTATACGTCGTCAAATTAATTGTTTGCATAATTATTTAAAAATCATAAATTATTTTAAATCATGAATTAATTATTATATTAATTGTTTCTCTCATATTCCTTGATCAATATTATTCCTTGAATCCATGCTATAATTGCTACATGCTTATTTGATTTATGTGACTTAATTGCTACTTGACATTTAGCATACTAATTATTAAATTACTTATTTCCTCCTTAATTTCCACAATTAATTGCTACTTGTCATCACTTATTTCTAAATAAATCATAATTATTGTATGCTTGTTGTCTTATAATTTTATATTAATTGTTGCATTTATTGGAGTAATTTCTTTTATAAGAATTGATAAATTATATATATTGTGGGATCGGGTTGCACGCCGCAACGAAATTAATGAAATGAATATATTGGAGGAGCGGGTTGCACGCCGCAACAGAATTGATGAAATGAATATATTGGAGGATCGGGTTGCACGCCGCAAGAGAATTGATTGAAAAGATATATTGAGGATCGGGTTGCACGCCGCAACGAGATTAAATAAAAATGAATATATTGTGGGATTGGGTTGCACGTCGCAATGGAATTGAATATGAATATATTGTGTGATCGGGTTGCACGCTGCAACGAAAACTGATTGAAATAATAATTGGTTATGACTGCCGAGTTGGCTTCAACTGTTGAAATGAGATACCTGTTTTATTTCTTTTATTGTTGCTATTATTATTATTCCGCACAAGTTAATATAAGTGACTTGCCTTAGCCTAGTCACTACTTCGTCGAGGTTAGACTCTAAACTTACTGGGTACATGGGGTCGGTTATACTCTTACTACATTCTGCACTTCTTGTGCAGATACTAGAGTTGGTCCCAGTGGCATACAGTAGATTTGCTCGGATTTAGCTATTCACAGGAGACTTGAGGTATAACTGCATGGCGTTCGCAGTTCTGAAGTCCCCTTCCACTTTATCGTAGTTGTGTATTTCTTTTAGACAACTTCATTTATTTATTGAGACCTTTATTTGTATTATTCTAGTAGCTCATGCACTTGTGACACCAGTTCTGGGATGGTATTTTAGACATAGCTATTATTATGGATTATTCACTTTATTTCAGACTTTATTTCCGCATTTGTTTCTTTGTTATTAATTAATTTTTAAAATTATTTAAAAATGGCTAATATTATTCTAACGTTGGCTTGCCTAGCAAGTGAAATGTTAGGCGCCATCACTGTCCGGAAGGTTGGAATTTCGGGTCATGACAAGTTGGTATCAGAGCACTAGGTTACTTAGGTCTCACGAGTCACGAGCAAGCTTAGTAGAGTATGAAGGAACGGTACGGAGATGTCTGTACTTATATCTCAGAGGCTATAAAGTTTAGGAACAATATCACTTCTTTCTTATTCTGTCATGCGATTTTATTCTATCATCGATGATTGAACCATTCTGTTCTTATTCTCTCGCAGATGGTGAGAACACATAATATATCTACCGACGGACAGGGACCAGAGCCCCCAGTGGAAACTATGACCAGGGGTAGAGGCCGAGGTAGAGGCAGAGGCAGAGGCAGAGGCAGAGCTCAAGTTAGAGCTCGAGCAGCAGCACCCGTAGTGGAACCTCAAGTGGTTCTTCAGCAGGAGGTTCCAGTTCAGATTGTACCCGTTGGACCAGTTCAGGCCCCGGAAGGATTCATAGCTACTCCAGTGCTTCAGGACGTTCTAGTCCATTTGGTGAGTCTTATGGAGGGCGTGGCCCAGAATGACGCATTTCAAGTGGCACCAGCCGTCTCACATGCTAGGGGAGGAGCATAGACTCCCACTACTCCCGCTCCGGAGCAAAAAACTCCCCAGTATCAGGCTCCAGTAGCCCATCCAGTTGGGGGGTAGTTCAACCAGTTATTGCAGCACAGACCGGTGATAGGCCTGCTTTGTCTTCTGAGTCTTTGTTGAGGTTGGACAAGTTTACCAAGCTATTTCCAATCCATTTCAGTGGTACACCTTCTGAGGACCCACCGAATTTTCTTGACCGCTGCTATGAAGTATTGCAGAACATGGGGATAGTCGAAAGCAATGGGATTGATTTTGCTGTGTTTCAGATGAGCGATTCCGCCAAGAGGTGGTGGAAAGATTATGTATTTACTAGACCAGTTGGTTCGCCTGCACTTACATGGGAGTAGTTCTCATGGCTATTTCTATAGAAGTTCCTCCCTATCACATTGAGAAAGGATTACCGCAAACAGTTTGAGCGTCTCCAGCAGGGCAGTATGTCAGTCACTCAGTATGAGACCCGCTTAGTGGATATAGCCCATCATGCTCTTCTTCTGATTCCTACCGAGAGAGAGACGTTGAGGAGGTTCATTGATGGACTCGTTCAACCTATCAAGCTACAGATGGCCAAGGAGACCGGGAGTGAGATTTCTTTTCAGATGGCTACTAATGTCGCCAGGCGGATCGAGATGGTTCTTTCACAGGAGAGAGGGCCAGTGTAAGATAAAGGCCCCGTCATTCCGATAATTTCAGAGGCGCCTCATCTGGAGGCAGGGGTACTTATGGTAGGGGTCATTATCCCAGGCCATTTTTTTCAGCACTTCAGGCATCTCACGGTGCTTCAGAGAGTCATGGTCCTATTATGCCTTACTCTGGGCAACCGACATTTAGTGCACATCTAGCTCCTATCAGTGCACCACCACTCTAGAGTCACTATGGTGGCTATCCGACCTGTTCGGGTCAGCTTAAGCTTCAACAGCCACGACAACAGGATGGGTGTTATGAGTATGGGAACATTGGTCACATTAGGAGGTATTTCCCTAGGTTGTCGAGCAACAGATCTCAGCAGGATTCTCGTGCCATCATACCAGCACCGGTTGCTCCACCGCCCGCCCGACCAGCTAGGGGCAGGGGTCAGACAGTTAGAGGTGGAGGTAAGGTTGTTAGAGGTGGAGGACAGCTAGTTAGAGGCTGTCCCAGAGATGTAGCTCCGAGTGGTGGGGCCCAGCCCCAATTTTATGCTTTTCCAACTAGGCCTGAGGCCGAGTCATCCGATGCTGTGATCACAGGTATTGTTCCAGTTTGCCATAGAGATGCTTCAGTTTTATTTGATCCAGGATCTACTTATTCTTATGTGTCCTCCTACTTTGCTTCATATTTGGTTGTGCCTCGTGATTCTTTGAGTGCTCCTGTATGTGTGTCCACACCAGTGGGAGATTCTGTTATGGTAGATCATGTCTATCGTTCGTGTGTAGCTATTATTGGGAGTCTTGAGACTAGCGTGGATCTTCTACTCCTTGATATGGTGGATTTTGATGTCATCTTGGGTATGGATTGGTTGTTACCCTATTATGCTATATTGGATTGTCACGCCAAAACGGTGATCTTAGCCATGCCGGGGTTACCTCGAATAGAGTGGAAAAGGACTCATGGCCATTCCACCAGCAGGGTTATCTCTTACGTGAAAGCTCAGCGTATGGTCGAGAAGGGGTGTCTAGCCTATTTGGCTTATATTCGCGATCCTAGTGCGGATGTTCCTTCTATGGACTCAGTACCAGTTGTTCGTGAATTTCCAGAAGTATTTCCTGCAGATTTGCCGGGGATGCCACCCGTCAGAGATATTGACTTCTGTATTGATTTGGCTCCGAGCATCCAGCCCATTTCTATTCCACCATACCGTATGGTTCCGCCGGAACTAAAGGAATTGAAGGAGCAGTTACAAGACTTGCTTGACCAGGGATTCATTAGACCTAGCGTCTCACCCTGGGGTGCACCAGTGTTATTTGTAAAGAAGAAAGATGGTTCAATGCGGATGTGTATAGATTATCGGCAGTTGAACAAGTCTACTATCAAGAACAAGTATCCGTTGCCAGGAATTGATGACTTATTCGATCACCTTTAGGGTGCCAAGTTATTTTCGAAGATTAACTTGAGGTCTGGCTATCATCAGTTGAAGATTAGGGCATCTGATGTCCCTAAGACAACTTTTCGGACTAGGTATGGACATTATGAATTTCTAGTGATGTCATTTGGGCTGACAAATGCCCCAGCAACATTTATGGATTCGATGAACCAGGTGTTCAAGCCCTATCTGGATTCCTTTGTGGTTGTATTCATTGATGACATCTTGATTTACTCCAGCAGTCGAGAGGAGCATGAGCAACATCTTCGGACTGTGCTTCGGACTTTGAAGAATAATCAGTTATATGCCAAATTTTCAAAATGCAAATATTGGTTAGACTCAGTTGCCTTTTTGGAGCATGTTGTCACGCACCGTTTTCTCATAAAAGTGGGCTTCGACGTGTAACAACTCTTTTAAATGGGTGTTAAAATAGAAGAGTCGCCACCTAACGATCTTAAGGTGCGTTAGGGCACCTATTCGCAGATAACTCCGGTTAAACCAGTCTGCGTCACTAAAGATCGGGTAAGGGTTCGAATTACCTCAAAGAGAAAGAGTTAGGCACTCTTCGAGGTCCACAAATGTGGGTCCCAGCCGAATTTTGACTATGTGAGATAATTGGGTTATTAATCGATAAGAATGAAATTAATTAAACTAAATTGCTATCTTTTAAGGCTTTAAACTATATGTGAAATCTTAAATTTTCAATAAAAAAAAAATTATTATCTATATATTTGTCCTAAATGCTTAAACCATAAAATAAATAATTACAAGTAATTTCTAGGTGCAAATTTCCTAAGACAAGTAAATTGTGCATACGTGTAGCGAATTAGCAGATAGTCAAGCAAGTAGAAGTAATAATATCAAATAAAAAATAACTAACCTCTCCATGACGTCTAGGAAATTAAAGATGGGCAGAAAGCAAAAATAGTAGTCAGCTTGCTCACGTTTTGCTCTCCTTCTCATGTTTTGCTCTATTGTATATTTGCAGGTCTTGAGTTCGTCAAAGAAGAAAACATCTTCTTCTTCTCCGTAACAAAATTGATTCGGCGGATTTTCACGGCAATCGCGGCTAAAACAAGGGAAAACGATAGTTAGTAAAAAAATGTGCGCCACCATAGAGGCGTGGCACTGTGATAATTGTTGATCACACGCCATTAACCTTTGTGGCGACTTTAATGTGAGGTCAATATTTATACACACGCAAGCAAAGCACGTAGTGTTGACTTGCCGGTCAAAAATAAGATAGCACACAATAAAGAAAAATACTTAATTAATCAAGTAGCATGCCATCGTTTAGCAAATATCATAAGAAGTTCACATAATGTAAAAATATCTCATAATGAACAAAGACTTAATTTAATAGCGAGGAAATTAAAAAAAAAGACCGGCTTAGTCACAATTAAAAGGTATAGAGTTAAACTCTTGTATTTTATAAGCCTTGACCACAAAGTCCTTAGCCTCCCTCAAAATATTAATTAACTTGGGGAGGGCTCACACACGTTAAATACCGATGTACATATACATGGGATAAGGAATGAATTAGAACTTCAAACTAAAGTATATTAGAGAAGAGCCTTGACAAACATATACGAGAGAAAGACTTAGCAGTGGTGCTTCTCTTCACAGATCCCTCAAAACTTTAGGATGAAAACAGACATACAAGGAACCAAAGAAGGATTATAAAAATATATTGACTATTAAAAACCAAATTTTGCCATTGAACGTGATTAAAAAAAAGTTATAGTTTCAAGCTGCGAAAAGCATGGTATATGTCATCATATAAGGGGATTTATAATAAACAAAATAGTAACATTTGTACAAGGAAAAACTCTTAAGACAAACATTAACTAAGTTTAATTAGTATATACTACGTGTTATTAAGAACTAGGGCCCGAAGAAGATCTACCACAAAAACTTTAATTGTTACGAAGAAGACAAATCTTTGATAATAGCCCCTTTTAACAAGCGTATTACCTCATTATACTACAAAATGCGTCTTAACATTAGGCCTTAGAATGATATAATGGTTTACAAGGAAAAGTGCACAACTTCTTAAATGTTTGTATAAGGTTAAGAACAAGTAAACAACTTTAAATCATAAAATGACAAACTGGTTAAAATCTTAGATTTACGCAGACAAAGAAGATCATAACAATGGATCAAACAATGTGGCTACTATAGATTTATGCATAAACGTGTACAAAAAACTAGGTCAATTACTTAAACAATAAAAGTCAGATAAATGAGGCTCCCAAAATATTAACTAACAGATACATGATACAATAATCAAGATAACAATAAACAAAAGAGATCGAATGAACCCGCGACAAATTACTTATTCGCAAACCTGAGCTTCTCCCTTTTGACTTGAGGTGCGCGCCTGGACAACTTCAAGTCAGTGCCTCGACGTCCAAACTTGTTAGAGTAATCACAAATGCTTGAATTGAAAAAGAAAATCTCTACTTTGACTATCAGCCAACAGAGAGTGGTTCACAATATATGAAAAATGATAATAACCGAGATGACTCATCTGCTAATGAGAGGGTAAAGAAGACTGAAGTGTCTTGATGTGGTGATCGACTATGGAGGATTATCAAGGAGAAGGTTAAGGCCTCTGGAGGTATTTTTCTTTTGAGCCCGTCTGTGTATCCCTATGCCCTCTAAGGGTAGGCTATCCACCCTCTCTAAAAATTGGAGAAAAAGGAATATAAAGAGACGGGGAAGGAAAAAGAGCCGTTGGTAGAGGGATTGTTTTATGGAATGTCTAGATTTTTAATAAGAAAATGTGAGATTATGAGAGGATTTTGAGGAGTGATTTTCTTGAAAATATTTTAGGAAAATAAACATAGGAATTTGACGAAGAGGGAAAGAAAATAATTAAAAACACAAAGAGAAAAAGAAAACATTAAACGGCTAGGGAAAAGATTGGGAAAGAGACGTTAGCCAAATTTTGGTTGGTTTGAGACTTACTTTTCCTATTTTAAATCTTGAGCCACTAAAATTCTATTACCATCTTAAGAAATATTAAATAAGAAAGTAAGAGAAGCAAAAATAATTCAGTACATAAGATTGTATTTCTAATGATTTACCAAACTTAGTGAATGACGTGTTCTAAAAATAAATGCTTGAGCATATGCTTACAAAAAAAAAAAGAGTAAATATTAATGCAATGCTGAAGAGCGACATTTTGAAAACGGAATATTGCATAATTAATGTAAAGCGAGAGTAATAGTGCGAGTGAAATAATTTTTTTTCAATAACAAATGATAATAGTAGTCACAATAATAAAGATAATGATAACGACGATAATTGTAATTAGAATTATAGTTGAAAAATATATAAATTAATGCATTCAAAATATCTGTGATTTAGGATCTCAAGGCAATAATTTATAAGAAATGAGGGACAAAATTCGGTGTCAACACATGTTGTATCGGCAGAAGGCATAAAAGTGAATCCTAAGAAGATTGATTTAGTTCAAAATTGGCCTAGACCTACTTCAGCTACAGTGATTCGAAATTTCCTGGGTTTGGGAGGTTATTATCGTCGGTTTGTGGAGGGGTTTTTATCTATAGCATCTCCATTGCAAATTGACCCAAAAAGTGCCCCATTCAGATGGTCAGACGAGTGTGAGTTGAGCTTTCAGAAGCTCAAGACTGTTTTGACTACGGCGCCAGTGTTGGTATTACCCACATGTTCAGGATCTTATATGGTATATTGTGATGCATCTCGCATTGGGCTTGGTGCAGTAATAATGCAAGATAGCAGAGTGATTGCATATGCGTCGCGACAGTTGAAAGTTCACGAGAAAAATTACCATGTTCATGACTTAGAATTGGCAGCCATTGTTCATGCGCTGAAGATTTGGAGACATTACCTTTACGGTGTCTCGTGTGAGGTATTCACTGATCATCGTAGTCTACAGTACATGTTCAAACAAAAAGACTTCAACCTGAGGCAGAGAAGATGGTTGGAGCTGTTGAAAGACTATGATATCACCATTTTGTATCACCCCGAAAAGGCCAATGTGGTAGCCGATGCTTTGAGTATAAAGACTGTGAGTAAGGGCAGCCTTGCGTATATTTCGGTTGGTGAGAGACCGTTAGCTACAGATGTTCAGACTTTGGCCAATCAATTTGTGAGGTTAGATGTTTCAGAGTCCAATCGGATTCTAGCTTGCACAGTCACTCAGTCTTCCTTTGTATGAGCACATCAGAGAGCGACAGTATGATGATCCCCATTTGCTTGTCCTTAACGATACGGTGCGGCACGGTGGGGAAAAATAGGTTACTGTGGGAGATGATAGAGTTTTGCGGATGCAGGGTCATATATGTGTTCCTAATTTGGATGGGCTTCGTGAATTAATTCTTTAGGAAGGCCACAGTTCTCGGTATTCTATTCATCCGGGTGCCGCCAAAATGTATCAAGATTTGCGACAACATTATTGGCGGAGGAGAATGAAAAAGGATATAGTTACATATGTATATCGATGTCTGAATTGTCAGCAAGTTAAGTACGAGCATCAGAGACCTGGTGGTTTGCTTCAGAAATTAGAAATTCCTGAGTGAAAGTGGGAGCGTATCACTATGGATTTTGTTGTTGGGCTCCCACAGACTCAGAGGAAGTTCGATGCAGTATGGGGCATTGTGTACATGTTGACCAAGTCAACACATTTCATTCCAGTAGCAGTTACCTATTCCTCAGAGTGGTTAGCTGAGATTTACATCCGCAAGATTATCCGCCTTCACGGTGTGCCCGTGTCTATCATTTCTGATTGAGGTACGCAGTTTACCTCGCACTTCTAGAGGGCTGTACAATGTGAGTGAGGCACGTGGGTTGAGTTGAGTCCATCATTTCATCCACAGACAGACGGATAGTCAGAGCGCACTATTCAGATATTGGAAGATATGTTTCGCGCTTGTGTTATAGACTTTGGAGGTTCTTGGGATCAGTTCTTGCTACTTGCGGAGTTTGCCTATAATAACAGTTACCAATCGAGCATTCAGATGGCTCCATATGAAGCATTATACGGGAGGCGATGTCGTTCGCCAGTTGGCTGGTTTGAATCTGGAGAGGCTCGGTTGTTGGGTACCAATTTGGTACAAGATGGCTTGGATAATGTCAAGATTATTCAGGAACGACTTTGCACAACTCAGTCTAGGCAAAAGAGTTATGTCGACCGTAAAGTTCGTGATATTACATTCATGGCAGGAGAAAGAGTATTGCTCCAGATTTCACCTATGAAGGGTGTAATGAGATTTGGAAAGAAGGGCAAGTTGAGCCCTAGGTATATCAGACCCTTTGAAATTCTTGAAAGCGTGGGTGAAGTAGCCTACAGGCTTGCACAACCACCTAGTTTATCAACAGTTCATCCGGTGTTTCATATATCCATGCTCCGAAAATATCATGGTGATCCGTCCCATGTGTTAGATTTCAGTTCAGTCCAATTAGACAAGGATTTGACTTATGAAGAGGAGCCGGTAGCTATTTTAGCTCGTAGGTCCGACAGTTGAAGTGTAAGAATTATCCTTCAGTTCGGGAATAATGGAGAGGTCAGCCGATAGAAGCATCTATTTGGGACTCCGAGTCATACATGCGGAGTAGATATCCACACATTTTCACCAGCTCAGGTAATTTTCTAATTCCGTTCGAGGACGAACGTTTGTTTTAGAGGTGGAGAATATGATGATCTAATATGTCATCTTTAATTTTAAATATTATTTCTATGTTCTAAAACCTCAAATGGCACCATTTAGCTTTTCTCGACTTGCGTCCACTGTTCGTATAATTTTTCGAAAAGTTTTTATGTGAAAAATAGATTAAAATGTGAAATAGAGCTTTAAAACTCAACTAAGTTTACTTTGGTCAACATTTTGAGCAAACAGACTCAGACCAGTATTTTGACAGTTTCGGTAGATCCGTATCGTGATTTGGGACTTGGGCGTATGCCCGAAATTTAATTTGGAGGTCCCTAGCTTGAATTATCGCCAATTGATGAAAACTAGAAACTTAAAGGCTTAATTTCAAAGTTTGACCATAAATTGACTTTTATTGATATCGGGGTCGGAATCCAGTTCTGATAATTTTTATAGGTCCGTTATGTCATTTATGACTTGTGCACAAAATTTGAGGTCAATCGAACTTGATTTGATAGGTTTCGGCATCGAATGTAGAAGTTGAAAATTCTTAAGTTCCTTAAGCTTGAATTGGGGTATGATTCGTAGTTTTAGCGCTGTTAGATATGATTTGTGATTTCGACTAAGTTCGTATGATATTTTCAGACTTGTTGGTGTAGTTGGTTGAGGTGCCAAGGGCCTCAGGTGTCACGACCCAAACTCCCTCCGTATAATGTTGTGACGGCACCTAGTCTCTACGACTAGATAAGCCTAACAAATTGCGGAAGATAACAAAACGAAAGTAAAACTTGGCAACTAATAGCAGTGAATAACTGAATAACTAGTAACAATGCCGTCCGGCTTGTACAATAACCAATACTCTATAAATACATAGTCTTCCCAAAACACGGAACATCGTAAGTCACAAGCTATAGAAGGAAAATAACATCTCTATACAACAGAGTCTAATAAAAGGACTACAGGAAGTGTTTGACATAGGGGAGAATAGATGGGGACTCCGAGGTCTGCGGACGCGGCAGATATACTTTGAAGTCTCCGTACAACAGCAAGCACTCTCAGCTAGTAGCGGGGTTAATAAGAAGCACTTGGATCTGCACCCAAAACATGTGCAGAAGAGTAGCATGAGTACACCACAATGGTACCCAGTAAGTGCCAAGCCTAACCTCGGTCGAGTAGTGACGAGGTCAGGTCAGGCCTACTGGTAAATAATAAATAAGGCAGGAGAATATACAGTATAATGAGGGACTAGAATTTAACAAAAGGAAACACAACAAGGCAACAGTAGAACACACAAGGGTAAACAACATGGGATCTCCCGAGATACTGTCTCGTAGTCCCAAAATAAATATACAGGGAGAACTCCTGAGGTACCGCCTCGTAGTCTCAAAAGTAAATATGCAGGGAGAGCTCCTGAGGTACCGCCTCGTAGTCTCAAAAGTAAATGTGCAGGGAGAAATCCCGAGGAACCTCCTCGTAGCCTCAAAGTAAATGTGCAGGGAGAACTCCCGATGAACCGCCTCGTAGTCTCAAAAGTAAATGTACAGGGAGAACTCCTGAGGAACCGCCTCGTAGCCTCAAAGTAAATGTCCAGGGAGAACTCTCGAGGAACCTCCTCGTTGTCTCAAAAGTAAATGGGCCCACATCTCAGAATCGGGTAAAGGTCACAAAATATGAACACCCATTCACTCATGAGCTCATTCGTACCAAAATTATCCAAATCCGATATCAAAATCCCAATCAAATCTCAAAAACTTAGTTGAAGAACTTCTCCCATTTTTCCCAAATTTCTCAACCAAATTCCTTAATTAAATGATGAAACTAATTAAAGATTAGTGGAATATAACCATAAACGAGTTAAGAATCATTACCCCAAAGTTCTCTCTGAAAAATCCTTGAATTATTGCCTTAATCTGAGCTCTCAAAGACCCAAAATGAAAATAAGATCAAACCCTCGAAATTGACTTTTTCTGCCTAGCGATTCCGCATCTGCGGACTACTGGTCGCACCTGCAACGCCGCACATGCGGAATTTCCATCGCAGGTGCAGAAATGACTTAAGAAGC